TTTTTGGTTTTTCTCCGGTACCAGGAACCGAACTCACGACCTTGTGCTTGCCAGGCAGGCGCTTTTGCCACTGAGCTAAATCCCCAGCCCCCGTGTTTTCTAAAATTGAAGAATGAATCCTAGGAACAATAGAGGTTAAGAGTAGGAAGTATTTATTGAGAGAAAGAAAAACTTCTGTTTAAGAGGGACAGAAGGAGGCTGATTGGGTGGCTGGGGACATTGACTCCCCAGGGAGTTTTATAGTGTAGGACCAAAGGGGAGGCGGGTCTAAGGTGGGACGAAACTATAATCAAGCAATCAGATGACAAGTTTAGTTGCTTAGGTAACACTGATCCAGTGGGAAATCACAGGATGGGTGTGAGGTGGGACAAGACTATAGTGAACCAACAAGATTACAACCAATATGGTGGCTTGGGTAATATTGATTAAATGGAGGTCCAGTGGGGAAGCGAATCACACAGCAAGTGCACAGGGCATGACAAGGACTTTCCTGGAAGGGGTGGGTTAAGGAGGTTCAGTCCTCCTCCCCAAGGTGATTGATTGATGTCTATTTAGAATATCCATTGCTGCTGTTCATCCCTAGGGGAGGTATCTGGGTGAGTAGCTCCTCTCCATCCTGAGGCCTGACCTTCAACAAAGGCACCTCCACCCACAGTTGTCTTCTGCACTGACCTCTTGAAGGCCCAGTCCTGCCTGCTGCCTATAATATTTCTAAGTAACTTAGCTATCTATAATACTTTAACCTCCTCTTCCAGGAAGCCCTCCTTGATTCTGTGCCCTGGCAGAGCCATCTTGAGCTACTGCCCTCCAGGCCTGCTCAGCCTGTGTCATTCCTGCCCTGGTAGGAGCAGAGGAGGCTGGAAGGAAAGTGTGGGCTGCTGTCCAGGGAGGCAGGAATCAGGCACACAACCTGGGACGTGGCGGAAGCCACAGGTGCTCCAGGTTTTTGTTTGAATCAGCAGGCTGTGTTGGATGAGAGAAGAGGTAGAAAAGAATCCTTGGAGGCAGGGAAGCCTTGGATATCAGCACTCTGCTGCAAAATGGGTATCATGTGTGCTGCCAGGGATTTCCAGGGCAGGGGAGGGCCTGACCTGGGCTTGGCATTTAGCTGAGGTACAGAGTTCACCCAAGAGGTCTTCCTTAAGCCCCTAGTTGCCAACCTCAGCACCTGTGGGCCCTGCAGCCTGGGAGGACCCCCCAACACCTTATGGTAAAGTTCTTCGTGGGATAGGTTTCCTTAAGTTGCATAATAATTACACAAATGCAAACTGCTATTTTATTATTTTATTTTTGTTGTGGTGCTAGGGATCAAACCCAGGGCTTTGTGCATGCCAGGCAAGCATTCTATCCCTAAACTGTACCTGTAGCTCAATAAAATGCTTATAAAAACTTACTGACTTTAGTTTCTAGTCAATAGATTTTTCGTACTGAAAACCTTTTATAGTGGAGCAAGTACAGAAAGTTCCACTGCCAAAGGGTGTCAAGGAGGCACAAAGGACTCATGGGCTTCCTCTTTTCAAAGTATATTATTTTTTAAAATTAAAAGGAACTAAAGAAAAATAACATAGCTGGGCATGGTGGTGCATGCCTGTAATCCCAGCATTCAGGAGGCTGAGGCAGGAGGATCATTGCGAGTTTGAGACCAGCCTGGACTACAAAGTGAGCTCAACGCCAGCCTGAACTGTGTAGTGAGACCCTGTCTCAAAAAGATAATAGAGAAAGGAAGAAAAATAACACAAACTTATAGCTCCAACAAGCTGGATCTTTGTGAAGAAAAAAATTTCCCATAAATATTTCTGCCAGGTGGTTTGGAGCCCTCCATGGGTAGAACTAATTCTATTATTATAGATAGCTAAGCTATTTAGATATAGTATAGACAGTCAGATGGGGCTGGGGCCTCCAGAGGTCAGTGCAGAAGACACCTGTGGGTGGAGGTGCGTTTCTTAAAGGTCAGGACTCAAGACAAAGAAGAACTACTACTCCCATATACTCCACCCCCTCCCCCAGGGTGAATAGCATGATTGATATTCTATATAGGCATCAATCACCTTGAGTGGGGGACCATAACCTCCTTAACCTACCACTTCCAAGAAAGTCCTTGGTCAGTATTATGATTGATACATTGTGTCAACTTGAGAAATTAGAAGGTTGCGGAAGTGACTCAGCCAGGCGCCCTGTCCTCACTTTGTAAACATCCTGAGCCTGTGCAAGGGGACAGCACAGAGATGGTGTGGGCAGTAGCCTGCATACAATGTAAGGGAGGAAAAGAGGTTTGCTCCCCACTTTTGCTCTTGTTGTTTTTGCTGTCTTCTGCCTCCTGGAACTGTTGCCCCTCACCATGCCACCCTGCCTTGGAGCCAGCTGATTATGGACCAAAACCTCCACAAACTGTGAGCTAAATAAACCATTCCTTCCTTCATTCTGGGCATCAGGTATTTTGTCTTAGCAACTCGAGAAAAGTAACCAAGACATTTGGCCCAAGAGAACTTGCAACA